CCCCCCCTACTGTTAAATGAAATTTACGCCCATGATCTCAATGGGACATTCCTGGTAAAATAAAGGATAAATAAAAATGCAACCCCTCAAACTAAATGGGGCCGGCAGCATTTCCAGAAGTCTCTGTTTCAGGAAGTCGATAACGCCAGATGTAGTGTGGATGTCAGAAGCCAATTTAGAAAATGTGATGTGTTCTTAAACTAATATTTATTAATGTGGAGTTAGCTGATTTGCAAATTATTAGCCATCTTAGAAAGTTACTTACCATTGAGCATTAAAAAAAGGGAAAAAAAAAAGCTGGGTCATTTTTCTTTTGTCTGCCTTTGTTCCACTTTACATTGATCCATCCATCTTCATCATCAAGTCTGGGGCACTTTTGAAAATGTACATTGCTGATCTTCTTTACTCATCCAATGAATTTTCCCAACTTCCACAGTCATATCCTTGAAATAATGTGTGGCAAATGCCATTGTGATGGATAAATTCTGATTCCACTATCCATAATGCTTCTCATCCAGATTATTTAAATGTTTTCTGTGCCTGATTCAACAATACTCAGCCATCAGAATCCCCCCACCCATGAGTCCCAGTATTCAATCTGACCACTGCTGAGGTCAGAGGAACACTTCAGAAGTGAGCACAGGGAAAGCTGCTGGCCCAGATGGCATACCAGGACAGGTCCTCCGGGAATGCTCTGACCAGCTGGGTAAGGTCCTGACCTCAATTTCTAACCTCTCTCTGTCCCAATCCACAGTCCCCACTTGCCTTAAAACCTCTTCTATTATCCCTGTCCCCAAAAAACCATCACTCACATGCCTGAATGTCTCCTGACCCACAGCACTCACCCCAAATGCTTTGAGAGACTGGTCCTGCCCCACATCAAAGACATCATTCCCCCCATACTAGACCCACATCAATTTGCCTAATGCTGCGTTCCATTTGCCCTCGGAACTCGGATTCCGAGTCGGATTCCTTGTTTTGAAGCTGGAAGTGACGAAATGTGCGCTCCCGTTTCTCTGAGATCCGAGAAATATCTCGGACAGCACAGAGGATCCCGAGTTCAGAATCCAAGATGGCTGCGCCCTTTATCAACAGAAGGGAAAGTTGTACTGTAGTCTTTCCCTGTGTAACAGTGTATTCTGTTTAAGCACTACTTCTCATTTGTGGCTCATTAAATCGGTCACCCACACTATACTGTCCAACTTATCTGTGGACATGTTGCTACGGAGTTTTATACATGAAGCGTAATGTGTTATCAAGTGATATTGCTAACAATGGCTACCAATTAACCGGGCTAGAATTGGATTTCATGATTAGACAGATTATTTGTCGGATTTAAGGTAGTTCGGGCTAATTGTAAGTGAATGAAGATAAAGGTCATTTAGACTGAGGTACCTTTAATCCGACAAGTTGTCCGACTAAGCAAAAAATCTTGCTTTTTCATATGGGTCCATGGTATTGCTACTTCTGTGGCAAATGGAATGCATCCAACTCGGTTTTCCCGAGTTTTTAGCGGACGTGACGTAATCTCGGAATCCGAAAATCAGATCCCGAGGCAAATGGAATGCAGCATTACATCCCAAAAAAATCTACAGAGGATACCATTGCCACTACCCTGTACTCTGCCCTGACCCACCTGGAACATAAAACACTTTGATCTGGATGCTGTTCATTGATTATAGCTCTGCCTTCAACACTATCATCCCCTCCCAGCTACTAACTTAACTCCTCTCACTTGGCTTTAGCCCCTACTTCTATAACAGGACTTCCTAACCAACAGATCTAGTTAGGCTAGGCAATCTTACCTCTTCTACCCTGACCCTCAGCATGGGTGCCCCTCAAGGCTGTGTTCTGAGCCCTATCCTCTATTCCCTCTTTACCCATGACTTCCTGCCAATTCACCACTCTAATGCAATAATGAAATTTGCAAACAATACCACAATTGTAGGCTGAATCACTACCAATAACAAGACAGCCTACAGGAATGAGATCCAGCACCTCACAACATGGTGTGCAACAATCTCATCTTCAATGTGAAAAAGATGGAGTTGACTGTAGACTTCAGGAAGTCCAAATGCTGCTTCCCTCCGCCATATCTATCAACGGGGTTGAATTGGAGTGTATACCCAGCTTCAAATTCCTTGGAGTACACATAAGCAAGGACCTCTCCTGGTGAACATTTTGAAACACCCACTTCCTTGTGAAGAAAGCACAGCAATGCCTGCGTTGCTGGACACATTGATGACAACCTGGGGCTGTGGTTCATAGAGTCAAGTAGGAATGGGAGGATCATCCACTTCTGGGGCAGGGGGAGCCCACAGGAACATAACAGACTCTGCTTGGGAAGACAGAATACTAAAACAACATCTAAACAGCATTATAATTAGTAGCAACAGTGGAAGCAAAAGCAATATACTGAATACTAATGGTTTGAATACCCCGGATAATCTCAGAATGAGTGAGGAGAACCAACTGTCCCAGTTATACTCAAACAAGCCATGATCTTGCACGGCCTGAGAGGAATCAGGGATGTACATGCAACATTCTTTCCCCAATATAGCAAAAACGCCACCTTTCTCAGCCAATAGGAGATCCGATGCCATATGGTTTTGCAGAGCCACCTGCTTAACTGCAGATAATTCACCCTTAACGGCCTTCATGGTATCAAGTGTTTGATTAGGCACTTTTTCCACTGCAGTCTGTAGGGCAGCCACCTCTGTCTGAAGGTCTGTGACTCCAAGGGATGGGATAAACACCCCAAACCATTGTTCTGTTCGACTAAGAGACTGTCTGCTGCGTGAATATGCATGCACAGCCAGGGATATCTGGGGACCACTTGTATAGGGGGAACAAGAAAAGCAAGGTAGTAATACCAATCAGCTTTTTCCTTTGAAAGAGACAAAACAGTATAACCCTTGAGAGTCCTTGCAATCATAATTTCATTTTGTGTACAGAATTGAAATCAGCATCTTGCATTTCATAGACAGAAGAAAGTCATTTCTTTCATAAAATGATTTTATCAACTAAAAAAAAAACATTTTGTGGACAAATTGCCTTTCGTGAATGAAAGTCATTTTGTGGATGAAATGCATATTGTGAATGAAAGTAAGTCATTTTGTGGACAAAATGTATTACATCAACTAAATAATTTCATTTTGTGAACAATGCATTTTGTGAACGAAAAAAAGTAATTTTGTGGAGAAATTTTGTGAATGAAAGAAATGCATTCTGTGGATGAAAAGCATTTCATGGATGACAGAAATGCATTCTGTGGATGAAATGCATTTTCTGAATTAAAATCATAATGTGGACGCATTTTGTGAATGAATTTTAACATAATGAACAAAATTTAATGTAATTATTTATTTATTTTTTAATTTAAGTACAAACAACTTTTGGGCTCATACTTTTATATGTACTCATTAGTGCCACTATTTTTATTATAGGGGCACCTCAGCCATTCTATGTATTTATTAAATTTCATCTCACTTAACTTAGTTTTAAAAAATCAATGAGATATTGATTAGTTATATGTGGTGTGTTAGTAGTCGAATGAAAAAATACATGAGTGTAGTGGATGGGTGCTGCAAGTACTTGGGTGATTTTGGCAAAGGTGTGGATATGGCTGAACTTACACACTAACATGAAGATCATTTGGACATCATTTTCTTTTCCTGCCTATGACTTTTGCACAGCACTGTATATATGGTAATGAATTATGATATCTGCCAGTATGAATCAAGTCTGTTAAGATACACTCACATCTTAGAAGAATTGTCAGTAAAATCAGGCAAATGTTTATCTGTTTCTGTGTGGGTTAATAACACTGTACATAAAAGATCAGATTTGGATCCACCCATGTATCATTTTCTCTAATCTATTCCAGCTATTCCACTCCAAAGCTGACTTGTTACTCCATGTTAGTTCATAAGATAATATGTAAAACATGCTGGAGTAGTACCTAAAGAAATAATTATTTAATACAATATTCTATCAAAAGAGTATGCACAACTATAACCCAAGTTAAAGTTTGATTTGATGTATAAGGCAAGAATACTTCATTATAATTTTCTCAATGAAAACATAAATTAAAAGTACAGCAAAAATATACATAGACTTTTTTGTGTACTTGTCAGTACACGAACTTTCAACTTACGAACTTTCAGACATACGAAGAGGACTGTAAATCCAAATTGTGTTCATTGGGCTCCCGTTTCCCGTCCACAGCATCAATTTTTTTTCTGCACACCAATTCCACCTAGTATGACTACTGTCTGATACTCCTGCCGTGCAGCAGCGTAGTGTGCGTACTCCCAGCATCCTAGTTCTTAGTACTTGCGTATACCCTTAAAATGATGTTGAATAACAGCTTATGAACATTTCAAGTTACGAACGGCTGTTCGTAATGTATCTCATTCGTAAGTAGAGGAGCGTCTGTATAACCCAAGTATACTTACGTATATGTACAAATATAGGCCAAATATACTTACATTTTTTTCTATACTTGTCAGTATAACCCAAGAATACTTAAGTATAATATTGTTTAGTATATCTCAGATAATTACATAACAAGTAAACTGAAAGCATACTTGATCATTTTTTAGTTTAAAAGAAGTATACTGATAGCATTAATTTTTTATTAAAATTTGCAAGCAAGATGTACAAAAGGTGACAAAGTAAGACATTTAACATAGTAAGATAAACAGAAGCATAGAATGAGATGAAATAAAACTGACTGGGATTTATAAGTTTAGCTAATATCAACTAAAGGGGGTGAGCTAGTGCACTGGAGGAGCTGCTTTTAATGTCATTGTATGTGTGTATAGTGACATTCATTCAATTTAAACTCCTACTGCAGGTCTGTACCACAATGATTTTTAAAAATTATCCACTTATGTCACTCAGAACTTCATTCATTTTTTAAGACTACACCTTGAATTCCAGCAAGTCCACACTGTCTTAAGGTACTTAAGTTTCCTTTGATTGCGCACCATCACAATAGTCTGCTTTTTCGTCGATGGACATCTCTTCAGATAGGTCTTGTTTCATGTTGATGTCCTTCTATTATCCTTATCTATAAATAAACAAATGAAAAACCACTGAATAACTGCATATGTGCAACATGGTTTCACATATTTCTTTCCTGGTTTGTGTAAGAAATAGGATAGCAAGGTACATCCTGAATGCACACACAAGTAATATAAACTGTCATAGTAGGAATGCTGCATAATTACAATGGTGCTGTGACAAGAAAAAAACAAGTGGTACAAAGAAGGGTTGAGCAATACAGTAAAACTGGTCTAAGTCGCCGGCTTGTAACTCGTCAATGTGCACAAGTCGACGCTCAAGCAAAAGTCCCGATTTTTCCTAATGATGTTTCCTTTAAAATTCCTTGTGTAACTCGCCGCTTGTAAGTCGTCAAATTCCCTTAGTCGTCACCTAAATCCCGGTCCCGAACAACACAAATGAATGGATTTTCCTACCTGTAAGTCGACACCCCAATCGCTGCATTCCTGCCGCCTGCTTCACACAGCCTGCTTGTCACCACGGCAACGTAGAAACGGGGAATCCCCACCTATCGCACTAGTCGCTCCCTGGGCTTAAGTCTCGCGAGTATAGTGCGGTGTAGTAGAGGTATGGTATTATATTTACGGCGAGATAGACATAAGTCGCCAAAGTTTCGACTTTCTCTAAGTCGTCACCTTTAAGCTGGTCCCGCGAGTGTCGACTTAGACCGGTTTTACTGTATACTGTATCTGACTGTGTTATATAACCAATGGTTTGGATTTGATTGGATTTAACTGAATCCAATCGTGGGGACATTTGGTCCCCACAATGTAATATAAGCTTATTACACACACACACACACACACGCGCACAGTAGGGTAAACATATCCTTATGGGGACCGCTCATTCATTTCAATGGGAAAAATGCTAACGCTAACTATGACAACCTTAACCCCTACCCTGCCGTTACCATAACCATAAGTAACCTAACAAAATACAAGAGTTTTTGCATTTTTAGTTTTTTCACAGCAGTCACCAATTTTTATAAAATAGAGTTTTCTCTTATGGGGACCAAGAAACCGGTCCCCATATGGAAAAAAAAATGGATATTTATCACGTTATGGGGACATTGTGTCCCCATAAGGATAGGTAAACCCACTCGCACACACACACACACCAGACAGGTTTGTAATTATATCTTTGTGGGGACTCTTCATTAATTTCTATGGGGAAAGCTCTAATCCCAACATGACAACCTTAAAACCTACCCAGTCGTAACCTTAACCATAAGTAACCAAACAAAATGAGACTTTTGGTATTTTTAGTTTTTTGACTGTAGTCACAAATCTTTGTGAGGACTTGAAAAATAGTCCCCACAAAGTCAAAGTTCTTATCACATTGTGGGGGACATTTGGTCTCCACAATGTAATGTAAACCTAATCACACACACACACACACACACACACACACACACCCCTTCTCACTCACATGTGATGCCTGAAATAGAGAAGAATCTGTTTAAAGGTTACAAGGTAGACATCTCCTACCACCCTGCAAAAAGGAAATTTGCCGCCCCCCACACGTGAGGCAACATAACTGTGTCTACCAGCAGAGCTCTGGAGCCACTGGAGAAAGACGCACGTGGTCTTCCAAAGTTTGGGAATACTTCAGTCATGACACCTTTTCTGCACCTCTACTGTACATAGCTGTCAAGTCTCCCGTTTTGGCCGGGAAACTACCGTATTTTACCCCTCTTTCCCGCTGTCCTCCCGTATTTGTATTTTCCCGTAAATCTCCCGTATTATATCATTTAAAAAAAATCCTCTGCCTCTCCAAACTGAACTGTCAGTAGCCTCGCGAGAACTGTCACCTGCAGTAGTCTGCAGGTCATTTACAACATTAACCAGGTCATAAATGCGGAGGTTAAAATGGCAATGCTGTGTGCCAAAAACAATGTTACTTTCACCTTCTGTGACGACTTCAAGAAGGATACAAAGTCTGCAACAAATCTGTATAATGTCAGGGTCAGCCCCTGTTGTCCTAATCTTTGTCCCTTCCCCGTTTGGCCAGCAGGCATTGCTGGTCATCCCGTTCTTTATGTTAGTCTTTGTTCTCCCCTGTTACCTGTTTGGTCTTGTGGCTCAATGTGTTGAGCATGTGGGTGTCTGTGAACCTTGTCCTGTGTTCGAATCCTGCCTCCTGTTTTTGTATGTTGCTCCTTAGTGTTTCTAGTTATTGTATCTGGTGATTTTGTATTTGGTTTTGTTCCTTGTGCCCCTGCTTGTGTCTTTACCTGTTTGTAATTCCCTAGTGTTGGTTTATGTTTCCTTGGTTAGTTCTTACTGTAGTTTCCCTGTTTTTAGTTCCTTTGAGTTTATTAGTTTCACCTGTGCCCTGTTTCCCTGGTCTTTGTTAATTAGCCTCACCTGTTCTGTGTTAGTCTCGTTACCCCTTAGTATTTTAGTTCCTGCTTCTGTTCAGTTCCCCAGTGGTTCATTGTTGTTGCTTGTCTAAGCTTTGTTAGTTTGGTTAGATTTGTATTCTGTTTACCTTCCCAGTTTTTGTTATTTGTGATATTAAGTCTTTAATTACCCCCTTTAGTTTTTGACCCTCGTGGTCCTTTTGGTTTTGTGTTTGTAGTGATTTCTGTTTTATTTAATAAACCCCTTTGTGTTCTTGGAGCCGCTAGTGGGTCGTCCACCCTTTTTGTGCCCGAAGCCACGTTCCTGCACCCGAGCCGCCCGGATCCGTGACATATAATTAGTCATTAGTGAATGCCAGAGAGCCACATGAGTGAACATGAGAAATTAAAAGAAAATGTGTAATGAAAATAAAATGTAAATGACAAGTGGTTATTTTAGATTTCTTATACACCTGTCTTAAAATGTAAGGGATACTGGAGTTTGGTTGGGGTGGTGGGATAGCTCGCAGTGGGTGCCGGAAAATATCCCTTATTTTCAAATCCAAAACTTGACAGGTATGCTACTGTAGCTGACATTAATGACGCTGTTTCAGCCGTTTTATATTTTCTGTTTACTTATTCTGTCATGTAAGAGTGAGACAAATTATCATTTACGACTACTCTTACACACTCTAGCCTAAATCGTTCCTTGCTCACTGAAGTAAGCTTAACTACAGTATAAGCTACCTTTGCTAGTGTTTGTTAAAATGTTTCTCTAATTATGAAATCATTCCATGTTTTAGCATCTATTTTGACATTAAAGTCAAATTGGTATACTGAAATAATTAAGTAAAAATTATTGCAGTGATTATTGACTTTAGTCTAACATAGAAATCCTCTTGAATCTCTTAACATTTGCCTTTTTTGTTAATAATGCTCTAATATTTAAGAAATGTTTTGATAAATTAAGATAATGAGAATTTCACCCCTCCTGGAGCCGACACCTTATCGTGGTGGAGGGGTTTGCGGGTTCCAATGATCCCAGGAGCTAAGTTGCCTGGGGCTTTATGCCCCTGGTAGGGTCACCCAAGGCAAACAGGTCCTGGGTGAGGAACCAGACGAAGTGTGGCTCAAAAGACCCCNCCACCCTTGCTCTTTCTATTTTCCATCTTTCAAACATCACTGACCGAGTGCACTGACGTGTTACATCAGGGTGCATCTGCAAAAAAAACAAAAAAAAAAACGAGAGCTGCCAGTGGAGGTGGAGGCGGCCCAGGGACAGCGGTAGCAGCGTACGTGATCAACCCAGTGCCATGACTGAACACCGGCCCAAAAAAAAAGAAAAAAAAAGGGAACACCGGCCCTTGCAGCCCAAACATCAGACCGGCCCACCGGGAACTGTCCCGGTCCTCCTGATTAGCCACTCCAGGCCTGCTTGTTACCTTTTCCGTTGATTTAGGATAAAACAGGGTTGTTGGCTGGATTTGTCTAGTCAGCTAACATTAGCTGGCAAGCTAGAAAAAAATTGCTGCGCTATCGTTGTTTCGACTGAACCCTGTTTCTATTCCTTGAGCGTCTGATATAGCAGAAGAAATATCAAGCACCTACAGTAAATATCTATCTAACTGAACACTACAAAATTAGCAGAAATTCTACAAACATACTAGCAGCGTAATAGACCGCATTTGATCTGTGATCCATATGGATCCCCTGGCCGAACAGTTCAGCACAAAAAAACACAGATTATCTGCAAAGTTTATCTGTGATAGTGTGAAATAGTTTTACTGCCACTGTCACATTTTTGAAAGTCAAAGTTGAAACTATTTCTCACAATGAAGGAGAATCCCCCTTTATGTATAGCATTTGGGTAGAATTTTACATTTTTCGTGGGAATGTAATAAAAAAAAAAGCTGCATGGCTTCAATAGCATTAGCCATGGCCATGTAGCATTTTTAAAGGAATCCGTTTCCCTCTCTCTTGGTAAGTGCTGTTCATATGTCTAATTACAACTTTTGTTTTCCCAAGACAACTTTTATTTTGTGACCTCATGAAAACAACTTTGGCTATGTTCAAATTACAAGAAAAATAAGCTCTGATCTCTACATGAAACAGAAAAATATTACGATAGATGTCCTATAGAATATTACGATAGATGTCTAAACCGAGCCCCAGGTATAACATGCAGTGATTATTAAGAACTAAGAAATATTATAATAGGTACACAATATTAAAACAACATGCAGCGTCAGCCCAGATCCAACATTCACACGTATGGGCAATTTGGTAACTCCAATTAGCCTGAAAACATTTTTGGACTGTGAAGCAAACCAGCATACCCAGAGGAACACGATGACACAGGGAGAACATGCAAACTCCACACACATAGAGCCATGGTGGAGGCTCGAACATTGGTCCCGGTAATGTGAAGCAACAGTGTTAACCACTGTGCAATCATGCCACCCATGATCCTTAATGTTGGAAATAATTTTTATATTCAGTGCACGCACAAACACACACGCAACACACAAAAAAATTGTATTCATATCTTTATGGGGACTCTCCATTCATTTCTATGGGGAAAACCCTAATCCCAACCATGACAACCTTAACTAATACCCAGCCCTAACCTTAACTATAAGTAACCAAACAAAATAGAAGTCTTCTGGCATTTTTAGCTTTTTCTCCCTGGTCTCCAGACCCATGGGGACCAATACAATCCTCATAGCCTGTCAGTGCCAGTGGTCGCATTGAACTCACCCATGACCAGAGGAGTGCCACCTCGTGGGCACCCTTCAATCACCAAGCGAAGTTGCGAGTAAAATGTCTCCCTCAATGAGAGATCACTCACCGCGGTCGGAACATACACTGAGACAACAGACAAGACACCCAAGCAGTGCCTTAGCCTCTCATAACACCCTCTTTGAAGGAGTGGCATCAGACACCATCGGGAGGAGCCAATCCGCTACAGCAACAGCTACTCCCTGAGTATAGCAGCCATCAGACCGACCAGACCAAAAGTAGGTATACCCACCTACAGCGGTCTGGCCACTCCCCAGTCTGCGTACCTCAGAGAGTGCTGCTAACGAAATGCGGAGTTTACAGAGCTCCCCCGACAGCAGAGGAAGATGGTCATCTTCCCGGAGGGACAAGACATTCCATGCACAAACCCGGATGGGTCACCTCAAACTGGGACCCAAGCGCCTCCATGCAGCAGGCGACGCCTTTCATACTATTGATGTTAGTTGCACCATCTTACTCTTACCTTCCTCAGGTCTTGGCGGGAAGAAATCTGGGCTTCTTCTGGACAGAGAGTCTGAGAAAATAGAAATTGAATATTTCAGCTTGGTACTTTACCCATTCGGCCCCACATTATATTAAATCAACTTAATGTGTTACTAATTTTGCATGAGTTGTGTTTTCAGTCTTCTGGCATTTTTAGGTTTTTCATTGCGGTCACAGATTTTCATAAAATTGAGTTTCCTCTAGAAGGGACCAAAAAATGGTTACCACAACATCAAAGTATTAGGTTTTTATCACACTGTGAGGACCAAATGTACACACACACACACACACACACACACACACCAGACATGCACAAATTTACACCTATGGACAATTCGGCAACTGTTTTTCCATATCTGCTTGTCATATGCAGGGTCGTGGAGATCCAGAGCCGATTCTAAATGCTATGGGCTCATTGCAGGGAATAACCCAGGATGGGGTGCAGTGGTGGCTGGTGATAAAAAGTATTGGGTGGCCCAGTTTTGGGGGAGACAGACAAACTGAAGCAGCATGTCATAGCTCAGCTATTAAAAAAAATCTAAAAACACCACAATAACTTGCCAGCTGCTGAATTTGCAAATCAGGTTGGTCTGGTGGGGGAATGCATCTTGCCTACCCCCATTTCAGGCTCTGTATTATTTTGTCCCCTATATCTGGGATGCCCAACCCATCGATCATTTCCTGGTCGAAGAAAATAATCAATGGGCAACCAGTTGATCGCGTTCACCAAATTATACTGAGGGGGACAACCCCCCCCACCCCCCACCCTGGTTGACGGCACAGGTGTACCATAATACCTTTCTTTTACCACAAGCAGGCTTTGTTTCTGCAGACCTTTGTCATTAATCCTGACCCCTGCTGGTGTAGCTGGTAATTGCGCCTCATTTTTGTGGATTTTTTTTCTTCAGATCTGCTGCGGTACCAATTGGGCAAAAATCCGCAAAAAAGACCAAATTGTAGCAACATATCTATTGTACATAAATTCATTTTATCTATAATTTAAAGAAACATACCTGTTAATCTTGCCCATGATCTTCCAGCAAATTTAGAAAGGGTATCTGAAAATTATGAATATTAATATAAATAAATAAAAATGCACAAAATATTATGTACTATTTATAAAACCCCAGTAAAGTGCAGCATACCTGAAAGCAGTGAGTATTGAAATATTAATTTATTTATTTATTGAATAATAATAAATAGCTAAATAATAATAATAAATAGGTAAATAATAATAATAAATAGAATAATAAACTGTGAACCATACATCAGCATTGAACAGCAGTGAGGAATTTCATGCTGTTTCAGTTTTGTTACTATTGACTGTGTGAGAAATTGTAAGAGTTTTACTTTTTAGTTTAAATATACTTACCACATTTTATGTATAAAACGATGCAAACAGCTGCTGTTATTATGACCCAAATA